GGATGATGAGAGGAACAATCTTATTGGCTCTCAATTAAAGCATCAGACAAAGGTGGAGGCTAGTGGTTCACCTTACTCCATGGTCCAAAGGCTAGAAATGCTAACTTTGAATACTCTGGGGTTGAAAATGAATTTTCTCAAAAAGTTATTTAGATGAACCCTTGTTTAAAGTCTTTTTGAATTCTCCCGGCCTCACTCAGAATTTTTCGATTTAAAACTTGGTACGCGAAGTACCAGAAAATTTAGGAAATTTCGAATAGAATAAATTTTGGTGTAGAATTAATTTTAAAATGTGACGAAAATAATTTATTCAAACACCAATTGATCACCAAAATATTAATGGAGTGAAAACGGCTATTTTGGAATTTCTTAATACCGGATTTATAAAATAAAATTTTGGGTTCTTACACCCTAGGATAAATTTTAGGTTTCTTGGACCTGGTCAGTCTTGACCCGGGAGCTCTAGTAGGGCACAATCGTTGAAAACCTCCCCCATTCGTCTTTTAGGGGTGAGATCATGACAAGTTCCGACAGCCAAAACCGTTCGATCCGGGACTACGGAAGCGGCAGCGACGACGAATCCGAACAGACGGCAACTAAGGGGTCCTCGTCCGGGTAATCAGATACGGCACATGGCGACAGTGCTCGCACCCACCGGTCCGGAACTGACAATGACTGCACGTTCGAGCGATCGGGTAACCACAACGCACCGAGCGGGGGTGTCCGCGCAATCGAACACGATGACGGGATCCACAGGGCGTCTACAAGGTCGGGTGAACAAAATGATTGCCCCAGCGGCAGTGGAACGCTAGCTAGGGCGATCGACGCGGGCGTGGTCAGGACCTCCGGTCAAGAGTCCCCGATGTACGAGAATCAGGGTCGCGGGTTGCCGCCTCACGCCATGGTAATCACCCTCGACCCCACGCTTTCTCCCAAGTCGGCGGCCCACTTGGCCTACGACCTTCTAAACAAGATGAAAATCTTCTTGAACAGCTCGTCCGCCGAACGACATCGAAGCCTCTTGACGAAGAAGGAAGCCGAGGACGCAACCGCTCTCCTGGTCGGTTGGGTCTTGTTCAGTACACGCAGGTCTCGGGGAACCATTAAATATCGCACCCAAGGACTATGGCTCGGGATGCATCTGGACTCCCTGAAGACCCCTTTGACCTACCCATTCAGCCCGTTCCTACTCGCCTTCCTTGGTTACTACGGCGTGCTACCGGGTCAGATCTGCCCCAACGCGCATCGGATCATAGCGTGTTTCCCGCAGATCTGCGCTTGGCACGGCCTCGTCAGCTCAATGGAGCTGTTCAACTTCTTGCACTCGGTTCACCTGCTCGCGGCCAAGTATGGAGGGGGCTTCTTGATGGCCCAGTCTCGAAGTCATCATTGCAACATCCTACATCTTCCAGCTAATAACCGGGGATGGAAAAAACTGGATTGTCTCCATCGAATACCCTTGGCAGCTCCCGGTTAAGAGGGCTTGGTCATTTCACTTTACAGAGTGCAAACAGCCTGAACCGACCGAGGCCTTGCAGTCGGCAGCCACGAAGATCTCGTCGGAGTTTTACGAGTTTCGGATCTTTCGGTCGGCCACCGAGTCTGAGAACGCCCTTCTGGAACCGCCTCGGTACGACTTACCAGAGAAGTATACCCCTCGACGGGCCGACGTGACTATAGCTGTGCAATCACCTGCACTCGCCCCCGAAGGAGAAGGTTTGCTGCGCGACACCCACCCTCTCCGGTTGCGCATGCGGAGGGCTCGTTTTTTCTCGCCTTCTAACGATCTTCTTTCTGTTTTCTACAGGTATGAAGCCCGGTTGAGGTTTCCAGATTGCGCCCTCCACTGTCAAGGCCCTCTGACCTAAGGCGGCCCTGGGCGGGAAGAAGGTGACAGCCTTCGATCCGGTCCCGGTCGGGGTGTCAACTCCCTCGGTCCCGGTGGCCCTACCACTATAGAAGACTGCCCACGTGGACGATGCGGCACCGACCCTAAGCACCGGGTCGGACCTGCAGATCGTTAAAGCTACCAGCAAGCGGGGTAAAGAGAAGGTCGACGAGTCCGAGGGTGTCCTCAAGCGGGCCCGTCGAAAAAGTCCTCCCAGCTTAACCCCTCTGAAGAACTCTTTGACGAGCGGGGATCTCCCTGGCAATCCACTGGCAAAGATGAGTGCCATTTTCCCAGCGGAGGACGATATGGCCGGGTGGACCCCGGAACAGGTCTCCGAACGGGGGGCTCAGAACTTGGTTCAGGTAAATTCCTTTCCCGAACATTAGGATTATTTTATCATCGGCACACGGCTGATCCCGGTTTCTTGCAGTTGACTCGGGTGCTGACCTCGCTCTAATACCGGTCCAAGGGCGGAGCGGAGACTGACTCCTTGAAGAAGGAGGTGAAGGAGCTGCGAAAGAAGCTCAAGTCCACCGAGGATGACAAGGCGATCGCTGAGACCATCGCCAAGAAGGCCATCGGGGAGACCGCCGAAGCCAAGAAAGAGGTCGAAGACCTTCGACTGCAGCTGCAAGACCCGGATGGTTTAGCCGCCTTCCTCTACCGAGACCCAGCGTCCGCCAAGCAGTTCTTCAAGGCCTTCGTAAAGCACAAACTGGCCGAAAACATGATGTGGGTGTTCGGGAACTGGGCATACGCGTCCGGGCAAAGGGACACGCATCGGGAGATAAGGTCGATACTCTCCGAAGTCTTCGAGGGTGACGATCTACGAACGATCTTATTGAATCTCCCGGAGAGTGTCGCTGATCCTGGGCCAATGCCCTATGCCGAAGCGGAGGCGACTGATCCGTCCACTTCTGTTGCCGAGAAGAATGATGAGGTTGATAAGGGGCGCATAGGTTAGGGTGTCGTCCGTTGGGGGTTTTTTTTGTTGGGAGCATGGTCCCAAATGTACAGGGCACTACTTTTATGAAGCATTTAATAATATTCCGCTTTTTGCCTAAGTTTCTGCGCCCAGTTTCGATCGTTTAATCATTTAATATAATTTTCGCTTAGGTTCGATTGTTTTCGCGCAACCGCTGGCTTTAAAGTTTAACCGCTCGGTTACCCGTTTGTTCCAACGTTCAGTTGTTTGGGTATATTCGTTTGCGAACGTTTGTTTAGGTATAACCGTTAATTTTGATGTCTAACCGCTCGGTTACCGGTTCGTTCCGATGCTCGGTTTGTTTAGGTGCGAATGTTAGCTTGAACTTCTAGACTGTGGAGCCATAGAGACGACCGTCCTGCCTAGCCCCCCTAGTCCGAGCCTTGTAGTGACAAAGTAACGGCTAAGGGTCGGGTTATTCTGGCCTTTTAGTGTGAACGTCTTGACTCCTAGATTACTTAGGCTTTTAGTTTTGCTTAAGTTCGATTCGTTCGGTTTTGTAGAGCGTTCATTGAAAATACCATGCAAGTTTTGGCACTCGGTTTGGAAGTTTCGACGCCCGGTTTGGTAGAGCGTTTATTGAAAATACAGTGCAAGTTTTGGAACTCGGTTTGGATGTTTCGATGCCCGGTTTGGTAGAGCGTCTATTGAATATACAGTGCAAATTTTAGCACTCGGTTTCAAAGTTTCGACGCCCGGTTTGGTAGAGCGTTTATTGAATATGCGGTGCAAGTTTTGGCACTCGATTTGGATACAGGACCCAGCCTAGCCCCCCTAGTCCTAGCTTGACGACGGCCAGCCGGGGAGAAGGTCGGGCTATTCCGGTGCACAAGGTTGGTCCGCCTGCCTTGTCGGGCCCCACGTGTTATTATAAGTGCATTCATCTACTACCGACCGATTGATCGGGTTCGTGGTGCTGTCCAGGCGATTATGCTGGAAAGTTTAAGCGACATTGTGGTCGTTTGGGCAACAAGGCCAGGATGTTTAAGCAACATTGTGGTCATTTGAGCAACAAGGCCGGAAAGTTTAAGTGACATTGTGGTCGTTTGGGCAACAATGCCGGAAAGTTTAAGCGACATTGTGGTCGTTTAGGCAACAAGGCCAGAAAGTTTAAGTGACATTGTGGTCGCTTGGGCAACAAGGCCGGAAAGTTTAAGCGACATTGTGGTCGTTTCCTCCGAAGGTGCGTTGTTAGCGCTACCGATGGGGATGGGGTCAGTTGAGGCGGTCTTGCTTTTGCGATCGGGCTCGAGCGTAGTCTCTTGAACGAAATTGCAATTTGCAGGAAGAAATGAGATTACATCACCATTGTCCAAGTACATTTTCCTACGCGACTAATCTCAGTCTCTGGTTACAGACATTCGAAACGGGAAATTACAACTTTGCTGACCGGGTACATGGTTATACTTTCTATTCTCGGTTGCTAATTACAATACCAAAAAGATACAAACCCTTACAGACATTCAAAGCATAGGATTACCATTGCGACTCTACTGTCGGAATAGTATTAAGTTTTCTGAGTTCCAAGTCCGGTCAATCGGGCGGCCAGTTGTGGATTCAAGCTTATACGTTTCCGGTCGTATTACGGCCGACACTAAGTAGGGTCCTTCCCAATTTTGTGCTAGTTTCGCTCCTTCCTGTGGCTGGCTAGCTTCGCGCTTCCTCAGCACGTAGTCGCCCACCTGAAAGTATCGGGGGCGGACGCGGACGTCACGGCTCGCCTTCACTTTTTTTTTTATATTGCGCAATCCTTCGAGTAGTGAGTTCCCTTTGTTCTTCGATACAGTCAAGGTCTAACGTTCATTCTCGATCATTTTCTTCCTCCTGGTAAGCTTTCTCTCTAGGGGTCGGGATCTACGCCTCAATTGGTAGCCGAGCTTCCGCTCCGTAAGCCACGACGAAGGGTGTTTCTCCGGTCGCCTCTCTCGGAGTGGTCCGGTATGTCCACAAGACGAACGAGAGTTCGTCCGCCCATGATCATCCGAATGAATGGAGCTTTTTCTTGAGTCCATCGAGGATCGTTCGGTTGGCGTTTTCAATTTGTCTGTTTCCTTGTGGGTAGGCTACCGACGATCGGATAGACTTTGTCCCTATTGTTGCTAGGAAGTTCTGGAAGTCTCGGCCCTAAAATTGTTTTCCGTTGTCGGTGACGATCTGGACGGGCACCCAGAACCGGGATACTACGTTTCGCCAAACGAAACGAGTACATTGCTGCGATGTGATGGTGGCCAGGGGTTCCGCCTCGACCCCCTTGGAGAAATAATCGATGACGACTATTATGAACTTGCGGTGCCCAGAGAGCTGGGGAAATGGTCCGACGATGTCTACTCCCCACATTTCAAAGGGGATGGCTGTGCTGACCTGGTGATAGAACGTGGCGGGTCTGCTGGGCATCTTTGCAAAGACTTGGCAGGTCTCGCATTCTATCGTTAGCTTCTCGCAGTCGAGTTGTACGGAGGGCCAATAATATCCGATCAGCATGATTTGTCGTGCGAGGAACCTCCATCCCTGATGTGAAGAGCAAAGCCCTGAGTGCAATTCGTCCATGACAAGTTTGGCTTCAAAGTCAATCAGACATCTTGTAACACCCTGAAATTTTGAAACTTTTAAGACTTATAAAATAAAGGTAAATTCTCATTAAATCCCAAAACATAATATAATAGAGTACGGGGTGCTATGCCACACCTGAGCTAGAGAACTCAGGTGCACAGACTAACTAACTAATATCCTCAATAATGTAAATACATGAGCATGACACGCAGGCCGAAAGGGAAACTATCTACTCTACGCTCCAAATCTCTAGCGCGCTCCAGTGTCTACTCCTCTGTGCCTGAAAGCCAAATATATCTGTTCAGCGAGAGATGCTGGTAACCCACTCCAACGCGTTGAAATACAATATAGGTATATATATAGATATAGATATAGGAAAACCATTTTGAAGCAGGAAGATATATGCTTAGGAGACTCTAGCTTTAAAACCGGGAATAGACTCAGCAAATAGGGACAAGCACATTAATCAATGATAAACGGTTAAGTAGAGATAACATCATAAGGAATACGCATCTAAGGTCACAGATCACTTTTCAATTCAAACACATCATCATTCAATCATCATTTATATCACATAATCATCGATGGCGCCACGGGACCAATCGCATGCCCCGAACATGAGGGTTAATGCCTATAGCATTAACACGGCTCCGCAGCACCCTACCTCAGTACCGCAGTACGAGGGGAGTTGATCACAACCAACCCTTGGAGAACCGCTGACGAACTCAACGTCGGACCACGACCCGACACACCGCTGACGCGCCCAGTCGGTGGACCGTGATCCCCTTTACAAGGGGGGACTTACGACCCTACACACCGTTGGTGCGCACAATCGGCGGGCCGTAGCGGATCAAGCCCGACACACCGCTGAGCTAAACTCAGTCGGTGGGCAAAGATCCTCGGAGACTACAGTCCTGCATACCGATGTCCCACCACTCGGTGGATCGCAGCCAGTCGTAGCCCTACACACCGCCTGATTACTCAGGTCGGTGGACTACAACCTTCCTCGGCTTGTTGGCCCCATACCGCCTGGCGCATCCCGGTCGGTGGGTCATATCACCGAGGCCCATGTGGACCTTCAGTCCTATACATAATCTTTATATACCTGATCGGTCTCTACCAGCCTGGTTAACAGTTGGGATGGTTCTCAACCCATTCAACTGCCCGTATAGTGGACCTCAGTCCTATATCATATCAATATCCCTGACCGATCTTAACCGGCCTAGTTAACAGTTGGAATGGTTCTCAGCCCATTCAACTGCCTGTATAGCCCAATTGGTCTTAACCAAGTTGGGGTCATGCATCACGTAACACACAATAGCACATAATGACACATTGTTCACATAGGGAAGGGGGAACATATAATTAAGCTTACATGTGATCATTCACATTCTAAGAATAGTTCCTAAGGGATCATATAACTTCCACCTAGGTCCATGGGTTACCAATTCAACTAGCATGCAATTCCTAAGACTCGTTTAACCTACGAATGGTACCCAAAATTCCAGACTAGACTCAGGCACGACAAACGGGGTCCGTTGGGACACCATGGGGAACGGGGAACATCAAACGGGGAAGCCGGGGGCCCGGGGTGGGGTGTGGACCAGCGGGTAGCAGGTGGGTGGGGGTCACCCGCCGGCTGCCCGCCGGTGGGCGCTGTTTCGGGCTGCCGGTAGCCGGCGTGTAGCCGGCTGCCCGGTGGCTGCCCGCTGCCGGGCAGCGCCTCTTTGGGCTGCGGGTAGGTGGTGGGTTCCCCCACCCCCACCTACCCCACACTGACTCATTCATCACAAATTCGTCCCGGGATCCTTTGTGGAACCCGAAACCATGCTTAAACACTTTTAAACGCAAATAACGACATCACATAAGCAATTAATGGATCAAAAACAATAATCATGTAGGACTTATCCTATTATGACTTCTAAATATAAACAACACCCGAACATGCGAATTCCCACCCAAATATAAATCAAGAACATCCTCAATACAAATTCCCAATCCAACCTAGGGCTCTAATCCCACCCAAATCATCAAGAATATATTTTATTCTTAACATCAAGAAAATATCAAGATTCGTCAAGAATCATCATATCATAATCAAGAACTTCTTTTTAACATTAAGGTCATCAAGATTCCCATGAAAGCATATAAATCATCTTATCAATCATAATTATCATAGAAGAAATCAATCAAGACACAAGAATATAGAGGGAGGCCAAGGAAAGAGATTATAGCGAAGAAAATAGGTTTTGTTGAGACATGGGTTACCTCTTAGCCTTAATTAATTTCCTTGGCTATGAAGGGTCTTTCTTTAAGATTTATCCTTTCTTGATTTCTACTACGGGAGTTCTTGGAACTTTCTTGTGTGGTGAGGGATTATTTGTGGTGTGTGTTCTAGGTGCCTTCTATGTCCCTATTTATATAATTAAGAGTCCTAATTATGGTCTAAGTGGCATGGGTTTACTAGTTCTATTCCTTATAGAACTAAGGGGTTGGCTTTAGGGATAAGGGCCCATGGACCATGGTGGACCATATTAATTAATTAAAGAGAATCCTAACCATAATCTGAATAGTAAAGGTATACTTTCTTTTATTCCTAATAGGCTTATGACTCTAGTTTAGGCAAGGGTCCATGATCCGTGGTGGACCACGTTTAATTAATTAAAGGGATTTCTAATCAAATTAAATTCTTTTTAATTATTATTAATGGAATTAATTAAATAATTAATTCAGGATTAAGGGCCGTAACACGGGGTGTTACACTCTCCCCCCCTTACAAGAAGCTTCTTCCCCGAAGCTTAGAAATCATTTTGGGGTAAAGAGCCCGAATTAGTATAGTAGTTCATAAGGAAAGTGTTATATGGGAAATATATACACATACACATATAAATTCACTGGGTTTGAGCCTAACTAAAATGCATCAAATAACAAGGTCATGAATATGCAACATACAATATGTAAGTTTTACGGGTGACTAATACATAACATAGGAGTCTTACACATGGCATGTTCTTTAATTAATTATTTTATAATGATTTAACATATAGGATCGCAAGTTGGGCTGATCATGTAATTATTTATGTACCTAAATGAGAGGAAAATATTATGCGGTGCAGATTCGGATAGTCACATAATTATTATAAAGTATATATGCACATATATCAACACAGGCGAACCTCATTTACGAATGGATGCAGGTGTTTAATTATGTAGTGTAGCATGTTGTGATCCTAGATGCCATATATGTCGGACCTATGCCTAATCTTTGTGCTTTAGCAGTTATACCAAATATTCACAGTTACGAAATAACAAGCCTAACATGTATGATAATTAGCTATTTATGTTATATGCGAAACCTGCAAGTTGGCATGCCTATATGTGTTCAATCGTAATTATGCTAAATATGCAATTTCTTAAGTCTATAGGCATAGAGTGTGAAGGCATGTGGGTCTATTTCAAGTCTTAAATAATCGCTAGTCCCATGGAATCACAAAGCACATATATGTATTATTCCACATGTTAGTCTAGTGCATGATTTAACAATTAAATTTATGTGCTTAATATCATTGCATAACCAAACTTTTGTCATATAAATTCAGGAGGGTCGTAAATCATATAACAATATTATTCAAATAGCGAAATTTAGATTCTGAGGAAAAGATTGTAAGTAGTTAGGAGGAAGGCTCTTGCTTTTTATGGGGTAAATAAATTCTGGGGAGACAATAGAATTAGGATCTTTATTTTGTACATCATGGGTAACGGAGGGTGATCACATAACAAGTATTGACACTTATATGCAGATTGCTTGTAATCAATAATATTGTATATATGTATAGTGGGACGCCTTATAACATACTGTTTTTGTCTAACGTGCTTTGTATATATACATGAATGCGTGTAAGTGTGTATTTTAGATAAACATGTGAGCTATGTGATTTGACATGTAATGCATAATGTAAATTTCAACCTATGGTTTGGACCATGCAATTTGCATACAAATATTTTAGAAATTACGAGTAAGATAGCCTAGGTTCATAAGTACTAGAGGTTCTATCTTGAGAATTTAATCGCACAAGCACTTAGGAAAATTAGTTTTATCTTGGTGGTAATTAGATTTTAGGTAGCATAAATCTTACCTCTAGAAGCCCGGGATACCTAAATAACTTTAGAGTTGAAGACCCTTGGTTGCTAATTCCTAAATCAATTGATGACTTGATGATGAGACTAAAGTTTTTAATTATTTAGGGAAGGTAGGAGTGTTAACAGGGCGGTCATGCGAGGAGGAAAAGTAGAATTAGGGCTACCCCAGGATATGTGTATCTATATGTATATATATAATAGTGATGTAATTTGTACGGAATGATATTTCAGGGTTAGGATATGCTAAGGGCAAGCTTATAGGTGTGCGTAAGATTATTGTAGCTAGGGTGCATGTGTATGGTTTGGGGGCTAGGGATTTATTGTATATAATGTAACAATTTATATGAATACGTATGAATAGGGGAGGATGTTCTATAGGCTCACAAGTTTATACACATATATATATAGATTTAAGCGTATAGGGACGTACCGTACCTGACGCAACCATTTTTAAGATTAGGCAAGGTGATTTAGGATTAGGGTGCAATAAAAATGAAAATAATAATAATAATAATAATAATAATTTGGTGTAAGTGTAGCATATGAATGTAATTGGGGTTTACTACATATTTTGGATATATATATATATATATATATATATATATATATATATATATATATATATATATATATATATATATATGATAGGAGTTTTAGGGGAATATATCTAGAATAGTAGTGATGTACTTATTTATGTATAAATGTTTGTTTAGGGGGGTCCTTATCTTAGTAGTAAAGGGTCCTAAACAAGGTATGGGAAGCTCGTGGTCTATTATGCAACATGGACCAAGGTCTAGAGGGATAGTTTTAAGATAGTTTGGGGGCGCAATATATTTTTCCAAGGATAATTTCTAGATGACCACTTGTTTTAGGTTTCTACCGGTCTCACTCAGATTGAA